TGGTTTGGTGTCAATGTGGTGGAATTCTCCAGTGAAGCCATCTGATTCAGGCCTTTTTTTCTTGCTGGGGAATTTTTGATCACTGACTTAATCTCAGTCCTTGTTAGGATCTGTTGAGATTTTCTATTTCCTCTTGAGTCAAATTGAGTTTGCTGTTTGCTACCATTCTGCTTTGGACAACTATGGAACTAGCTAGAAGCACTGGTGTTATGATCCATTTATCTCAATAATGATTCATATTAAGTCTTTTCTCTGTATTTAAATCATTTTATTTTCCTTGAAATTTATAATGATCAATTATGTAGTTGTCAAGGAGCTCTGGTGGTGTAGTGCCAGCACATGACTGCTAACCAGAAGGCTGGTGGTTCAAACCCACCAGCCACTCCTCGGAAGAAAGGTTGGGCAATCTGCTTCTGTAGTGATTGTTGTTGTTATGTGCCATCAAGTCAGACCTGATTCACAGCGACCCCTCCTTGGGTTTCTGAGGCTACCAGAGCTCCTTCCATAGTGATACCACCTCAGAAACCCAAGGAGGGGTCACTATGAGTCAGATCTGACTCAATGGCAGTGTTTTTTGTTTGTTTGTTTGTTTATTCAATTGTCAAATCAGAGTGGTTTGAAATATCCTTCTTGAGTTATGTTATGTTATGTGCCGTCAAGTCGGACTCGACTCATAGCGACCCCTCCTTGGGTTTCCGAGGCAGTATCACTATGGAAGTAAATTGCCCAACCTTCCTTCCAAGGAGTGGTTGGTGGGTTTGAACCGCCAGCCTTCTGGTTAGCAGTCAAGTGCCTTAGGCCCTATGGTACCAGAGCTCCTACCTGATTACAGAAATGGAAATTACATTTAAATCTCATCCGTGTAGAACATACTAGAAAATGTCCTACGCCTTTTGTGGACAAGCCAGAAGTGGAGAAGCCCTAGTGCCTTCTGACAAAAGAAACAAGTCTAAGATGAATGACCAGTTTTGAATTTGATCAAGAGGGTTGAGGCCTGAAGGAGAAAGTCCCTGAATTATCCAGCTATACACACTGGTTACATTCATCAAAAAGCTCAGTAAGCACCACCAGCACCGTGGGGGGGCGGCTTCACAAGCAAACAATGCTCTGCTACAGCCGACCACGTACTCCCGGAACTGCCCCCAAATGTCCAACAGGCTTACTAACTCTTCTTAATTTATCATATAAAACCCTAAACTTAGTAATTTTTGTCTACAAAGTTTGTTTTTCTCCTGAGTGATAATCTTCTGTCAACAAAAAGAGACATTGCAATATATCCCAAAATAAGCAAGAAATAAAACTACTTGAGAATTCCTTACAGTGGACATATGTCAGAAACTCCAGAGAGACCGAGCTTGTGTCTGAGTGATTACAACTAAACTGATGAAAATTTATCCTTCCTTCGTTGGCAGGAGCTCTGGTGGTGCAGTGGTTAAAGCATTCAGCTGCTAACCAAAAAGTTGGTGGTTCAAACCTGCCAGCCCCTCCACAAAAGATAAGACAGTCTGTTTCCATAAAGATTTACAGCCTTGGAAACCGTATGGGGCAATTCTACTCTGGACTATAAGGACGCTTGCTGTGAGACAGAATCAACTTGATGGCGCACACACACACACACACACACACACACAAGGTATTATTAACAGTCACTCGTATATTTGTCTCTTTTGACAAAACAGCAGAGGATCTAATCAGACTTGAGGGAGCTTCGGAGTGCTAAGTCAATCAAATGTGTTCAGCTGTCATCTGAATCAACTTCATGTATTAAATACAACCAACTGATGAACCCACACCCCAAAGTGGATGACGCTCACCGATGGCTCGTCCCAGGCTTATACTCTACCAGTCCGATAAGCTGACCAGTGGTCTTCATTTGCAGGCAGTAATTAAGACATGGTTAATTGCTATTCAATTTTTACAGGAAACCGAGTTATTTTCATACTAGTGCAAATAAAAAAGTAGCTGTCTACCCATTCTTTGATTTTTCCTGTTCTAGTTAAGCCCTGGGTCCCTAGGTGTTGCAAATGGTTAACACGCTCAGCTGGTAACCAAAAGGTTGGAAGTTTGAGTCCAACCAGAGGTGCCTAAAAAGAAAGGTCTGGCTATCTACTTCTGAAAAACCAGGCACCGGAGACCCTGCGGAGGGTAGTCTGCCCTGACACAGACGGGGTCCTGGGCACCAGGACCCTGCAGAGTGCAGGTCTGCCCTGACACACATGGGGTCCCGGCCTGGAGATCCTGTGGAGGGCGGTCTGCCCTGACACACAGGGGGTCACCATGAATTGGAGGCGACACAACTGGCTTCTAACCCTCTTTCAGTGCCATTCACTTACTTTGTGCTAACAGACATCAACACCGTATTTTTCTTTTCTTAGCTCTCGGCCCTCTTCATAGCAGAAAATGGGCAGAAATGTAGTCTGTTAAAATAAAACCCCAGTTCAAGGCAAGTGTGGTAAAATGCATGCAGTCTCTTCTGTGGAGCACTTTGAAATATGAAAATTCTCTCCCTGACCTCTTTCTACATATGAATTTACATGACAATAATATACAGAGCACATCTCTGTTTTGTAAATGCATAAAAGTAACAATGACTTAAAAAAACAAATAAGAAGGGGAGGAGAAACTGGCATCAAGCCAAACCAAAAACCAAACTCACTGCTATTGAGTTGATTCTGACTCACAGCTACCCCCATTGTGTTTCCAAGGCTGTAAATCTTTACGGAAGCAAATTGCGTCATCGTCATCCTTCTTCTGTGGAGGGGCTGGTGAGTTTGAACCACCAACCTTCTGGTTAGCAGCCAAGTGCCTTACCAGGAGCCCCCAGAGTTCCTGGGCAGAAAGTGAGGCACCTCATAAAAACCCCATGGGGCAGGCACTATTGATCCTCATTGTACAGGTGAGGAAATTAAGGCTCACAGCAATGAACCTGTCCAGACCCAGGAAGCTGGTCGACGTTGCGGCCGGGAATTGAACCCATGTATGTCCGAGGCTGTGTTTTGTTGACGTCACACTATTGCACGTATGGAAAATGAGAGCACGGTCGGAACTTTCCGGGAAAGAACCTGTATGTTACGCAATGATCTCAACTCCGCTCCGCCGCCCCGTCCCCGTTTATAACTCTGCCCCGTTTTGAATCTTTAGTCCCTGCTTTCTGGGCTCTTTATTACACCCCTGCTGTGGCGTCTTTTCGTTTCGGTCCATTTTCCTACTTGCCCAGCTTCTCAAGTAACGCAAAAATTGATTGAAATTGACGTATCAACAGGACCTTAACACTTGGACTTGGCTTAGATGATGCACCAAGTCTAGAACTTTGTATCCATGAAGGTAATAAAATTTAAGTTTCTCTCAATGAACTTTCCTTATTCCTCCAACTCTCCAGAAGGGTGTCCTAAAAATCCCACCGGCCGTGATGTCCTAAGCCACTGACAAGGAGGCTTGCTGTGCGCAGGGGGAGGCAGACCCGCGTTCGGTTCCTAGCAACCGCTATTTATACTTCATTGTGTGCCGTTTGGTCTGATACGCGGGTTTTTCTACCCGTGCCCCAAGTCTTTTAACTCTAGCAAGTCCAACTATTGCTGCTTCTTATCATCACTGAAATCTGTAACAAGCCATCGTCAACGTCTCCCATGGAAACATGTGGGGGAAGAAAGAGGAGGAATGCCCTTGTGGAAGCAGCTCCGACTGCTACTGAGGCTGGTATCTGCGTTCCCTCCCTGCGGCTCCCTCCGTCAGATGAGAAGAACCAAGGAGAGGTGAGGGGGCGGCTCATGGCAGGCGCTGACAGCAGATGAAACCAACAGGGTTACTGTGGGTTTTTCTGCCCCCAAAGGGACTGGAGAATCAGTTTTCAAATAGAATAAGTATTAACTGGGAGGGGGGTCCTTCGTGTTTCAAATTTAGGAAAAACTTACTCTCTGTAGATGCTGAATTTCTTCAGTTATGACCCCTGACCTCCAGCTGGGGCAGGAAAGGAAGCTGTCCCAGGCTGTTAGGGGCAGAAATGCTCACACCTGGGCCAGCTGCTTAAACGAACCCATGAGGTTTCTGGACAGTGGTCATTAATGACAGTAACTGACAGAATTCTCACGCTCATTCTTTGCTTTTTTTTAAAAAAAAAAAAAAAAAAAAAAACAACATCCCAAACCTATCCAATGCGCCTGACAACCAATTAACCTTCATTTTATGATTTAATTAAGACAAATCACCTTTCTGGTTTGAAACAATGAAAACCATAAATTCATAATTGGGAAACATGAATTTTCCCGGTGTTATGTCTGTAAACCTAGATTAAGCAGTGTTCTGACAATGTTCAGATGTTCAATTACACAGTGACGAGGAAATGGCCTCTCCTAAAAAGCTGGGGGCGGGGGCAAAAAAATTGGAGAACATGAGAAAATACACAAAATGAAGCATTTTCCTGAAATGCGGGCTGGCTGCCTAAGTCCCCTTAATTATTGCAAAATGCCTGGAGTTGGATCAGGTAGCGAGTCTTCAGGTTAGAGCCCCCCAGAGCGGCCCCAGCCTCCCCTGCACAGCCCCTCGCCGGAAGGCACAGCACGGCGCCGAGCAGACACACAGCACAGGAAGCAGACAGACACGCTGAGCCTGGGAGACCGGCAGGGATTCAGCAGCTTTGCCCCTGTGCACAGACAGACTGACCTTCCTTCAGACTTTTCTGGTTGCTCCCCTCAAGGCATTCCTTCTCTTTTAAGGGTTCGAAATCTTGAGCAGTGAGGATGTCTGGGAAGCCCTGTTGCCGCTTCTTGGAGCTATCGATCATGGTGAGAGCTTCGCTATGCGCGCAGCATTCAGCAGGAGAGCCGCGGGGCGCGCGAACAGCGCGGACGGTGCCGAGAATCCGGTCCCCGGGGGCCCGGCTCCTGCTCACAGCACCCCAGCCACCGGGAGTCACGGGTCTGAGCGGCCGTCGCCCCCGCGGTCCCACGCTGACCTGCACACACGCTCCTGCCGCCGAAGCCCTCAACTCTCTCCCACGTTGGGAGGCAGCGCCGCCGAGGCACGACTCGAGGCTCCACCCCCTTTCCCAGCCAGCCCCCTCCCCTCTGCCGTTCCCGCTTCCCCCGCCCCGGGACTTGAATCTGTAGTTTGATGGTCCGAATCATCTGACAAACACTGAGTCAAGCGGTTAAAAATAACTCCGCTAGCTGTTGGGAGAGAAGACTTTGCTGATACCGAAGACGACAAGCCGCTGCCCGTGACACTCCCGGGCTCTGTAAACACAGCCCCGGGCTGTGGAAATACTTTCTACCCGCCACACAAGCACATTCAATTACTCATTAAGTTCTCCCGCTGAATGCTGCGGGCCCGGGCATCTGCAGGAGGCAGGCTTATCAATCAACAAACATGCTACTAGCACGTCGGGGGACGGACCGAGTGCTTGCAGCGCTGAGGCCGCGTGGCGCTGGCTTGTAGCTCCGACCGCTCTCCCGGCGGAGCCCCGCTCTTTGTGACCGGCCAGTGGACGGTGACTGCAGCGCGCTCCCGGTGGCAGCTCACTTCTGAGCTGCACTTCCCCGGTGCGCCACTAGTCGGCTGAGAGGCCCAGCATCGCCAGGATTTTCTGAGCAAAACCTCTCCGCATTGAGCAGCAGCACGGTCATGGGCTCCCACTTCGTGCATGCGTGCTCAGCGACCGGGCTTCTCGTGCAAGCCACAGACTGCGTTCTTCACACACGGGATGCCGCGTGGAGAAACCCAGAGGTGCAAGTCTGGCCAATGTGGAGACCAGCCTGTTTTCACAAACACCAAATAAACGTCCACCTGCAGCTGCAGCCAAAAGAACCTTTTTTTTTTTTTTTTTTTTTTAAATGTTTTCCAAGGGTTTCCACAATACTCCTCTGAGGTTATAAGTAGACTGTGAATTCCACTCTCCAATTCTATGAGGGTCCATTTTGTTCACTTTTTGTAACCAACACCAAGTTGGTTACAAAGTGTCCTTACCACTCATCTGTCAGTTTGTCCTACGGTGGTAGCATGCAAGTTGCTGTGAGGCTGGAGGCTACACCACCCGTATTTCAAATGCCAGCAGGGTCACTCACGGTGACAGGTTTCAGGGGAGCTTCCAGACTAAGACAGGCTTGGAAGAGGAAGGCACCATCCATTTCTCAAAGAATAGGCCAGTGAAAATCTTATGAATAGCAGTGAAACACTGTCTAATATATTACTGGAAAACATGATGAATAGCCTTGAAACACAGTTTTGGAAGATGAGCCCCTCCGGTCAGAAGGCACTCCAAATATGACTGGGAAAGGGTTGGCTCCTCAGAGTAGAGCCGACCTTAATGATGTGGATGCAGTAAAGTTTTTGGGACCTCCATTTGGTGATATGGTGCAACTCAAAATGATAACAGCTGCAAGCAACCAGTAATAATTGGAACATGGACTTGAAGCACTTACTGATGAAGATTCAAAACTATACTCTGCAGTATGGATTACGTCTCAACATAAAGAAAACGAAATTCCTCACAACTGGACCATTAAGCAGTATCACAATAAATGGAGAAAAGACTGAAGTTATCAAAGATTTCATATCCCTTGGTTCCACAATCAACACCAATGGAAGCAATAGTCAAGAAATCAGATGATGTATTGCACTTGGCAAATCTGCTGTAAAAGACCTCTTTCAAGTGCTGAAGAGCAAAGATGTCTGCTTGAGGCCTCAGATGCGCCTAATCCAACCATGGTATTTTCAATCACCTCATATGCATGTGAGAGCTGGAGATGAACAAGAAAGATCAACGAAGAGTTGATGCTTTTGAGTTGTGGTGTTGGCGAAGAATGCTGAAAGTACCATGGACTGCCAGAAGAATGAACAGGTCTGTCCTGGAAGAGGTGCAGCCGGAATGCTCCATGGAGGCAAGAATGGCCAGACTTGGTCTTACCTACTTTGGTCATGTCGTCAGAAGGGGCCATTCCCTGGAGAAGGACGTCATGCTTGGTAAGGTGGAGGGCCAGTGAAAAAGAGGAAGGCCCTCAACAAGATAGATGGACACAGTGGCTGCAACGATGGGCTCAGGTACAGTAGGGATCCTAAGGCTGGCACAGGACCGGGCAGTGTTTCGTGCTGTTGAACACGGGGCCACTATGAGTCAGAGCCGGCCTGACAGCATCTAACAACAGTGGTGTGTCCAGAGTATCGTGGTCAGTTGCTATCAGGCTGATGTGACTCTCGGCTGCTAACTGAAAGTCTGGAGGCTTGAACCCTCCCAGAGGCACCTTGGAAAAAAGGTCTGGGGGTCTCCTACTAAAAGATGATGGCCATCGAGGGGCCCGTGGGGCGGTTCTGCTCTGAATACACCACAGCAACACTAGTCAGGGAACGTTAGGAGTTCTCCATAAATATCTGTTGCATGAAGGAGTGAATGAAATTAAAGTCAAAGAAGAAAAGCAAAACCACACTCACTGCCATGGAGTTAATTTCGACTCACAGCGCCCCTAGAGGGCACAGTAGAACTGCCCCATTGGGTTTCCAAAGCTTAAATCATTACGGAGGCAGACCACCTCATTTTTCTTCCATGGAGTGGCTGGTGGGTTTGAACCACCGACCTTTTGGTTAAAAGCCAAATGCCTTGACCACTGCACCACCAGAGCTCCTTAAAGTAGGAGAAAGTACAACAGAAAGACTTTTTTAGGTAATAGTCAGGGTTCTAAGGGGGTCCCATATCAATAACCAAAAGCCACTCATTTTAGGTGAACAACTCAAAAGTTCTCCAAAGGAAGCCAATCTCTCTTCACACGAAAAGGTACAAGTATGTCTGGACCGGCACCTGACAGGGTCTCCTTGTGAAACAAAGACAGGCTGACATTTTTACAGCCGGGAAAATCAGGATTCTTCTCACTGCTTAAACACGGACAGGAAGGAAGTAGGAGACTGGGTGAAGCAATCTGTCCTTTGTCCCTGGTTCCAAGGCTGGTGTGCCCCACACCCAGGCCGTTCTAGGAAGACAGTTATCTACCCTTCTCCAGCGTCTCTCGAGAATGCAGTTACGTAAGGGCACAACATGCTTCTTGTCAACGAAAATTCCTTCTGGAGCAACTTAAGCCCATCCGTGGTTGTCCAAACCCCCGAAGAAACAGTGACAAGCTTATCGTGCTTCTCCAAAAGGCCTGCAAATTTTCTGCTACTATCTCCGATCCTAAGGCTTTTATTCTTCTAAATCAACTACTCCCATCGTTTGAAAGGAGCAATAAAAATAACCATCATTTTTTGAGGACATTTTTGATGCCAGTCACTTTATGAGATGTCTTGGGAAGTTTAGCCCATGTAATCCCCACAGCCCTTGGTAAGCGCCATGATTATCTGTACATCGGAGACATTGTACAGACCACAGCCGAAGTCACAAAGCTGTAAGTGGAAGGCCTGGAATTTAACCAGCCTCTTAGCTCTGCAAAGCCCTTAGGGCAGGTTTAACAACTTTTACGGCCCCTTGGTAATTCTGCTCCTGAGGAGAGAAACCGACATAATGATACCAGAACGCCTTTTAACTTTTCATGAAATAAAAATAGCAATTTTTTTTTTTTTAATAGCAGTCAACTTTAAAGGCCCGCTGGTGCAACATTTAAACTTTCAGCCACTAATTGAAAGGTTGGTGGTTCAATCTTACCCAGCAGCTCTGTGGGTGACAGAGCTGCAATCTGCTCCCCTAAAAATTACAGCCTAGGAAACCCTATGGGGCGGTTCTCCTCTCTCACATGGAGGTGCTGTGAGTTGAAAATCAACTCAGTGGTACCCGACAGAGGCATGTGAATGACCCAGTCTAAGTGCTTTTTATCTATCATTATACCGTGTCGGCAGAACTGTGAGTTCACTATTACAATCCTGATTTCCAGATGAGGAAACTGAGTCGTAGACAAATCAAATACTTGTCTGAAATCTCAGATCTTGTAAGTGTTGTCAGGGACTCCAAAGCAGGCAGCTTGAATCCAGGGCTTACATTTGAAATTACTTTGCAAAAAGAACCACCAAATCCACAAACTGCAGCATTCTCTTTTTCAGAAAATTGTTTTTATATCCCACCCCAGTGTTGTGAGGCTACAAACCGAGTAGACACACAACCACACCAGCAGGCTTCACATCAGGGTGTGAGTGGAGTGGTTTTTTCTTTTTTTTTTTTTTCCCCAAAAAGTTCTCTTTTAAGGTTCCTCGGCAAGCTTATTATTTTTATATCTGATAACATCAACATCCCAACGAAGAAACACATTGTTCTGTTGTAGGTTTATATCAAGAGGCTTGCCTTTGTAGTTTTCAAAGGAAATAATAATTTCTCTCGTGGTAAATATGCCTGAAAGAACATTTACTTTGCTATTATTATTGTTTTTGAAATAATTCCAAATCCACAGAGTGCTTTTTTCCTGAACTGTGTACGAGTGGCTTCCGACACGGTACCTCTCTATCCCCAGTCCTCTCTGGGTAACATTCTCCACCAGCAGAGAGCCCTCCCTACCAGCCAACTAGCAGTCACAGGTCATGGCCATGAGGCCCGAAGGCTCCTTCCAAGTTTCACCGGTTGTCCTACTAACATCCTTAACAGCAAAAGGAGTCAAGCCAGGGTCACATGGGCCACTGGGTCGTTAAGTCTGTTCTGTAGCCGCCTTCCCTCCTGAACAGTGTCTCGGTCTTTCCTTGACTTTTCTTTTTTTGAATTTCGAAGACTACAGAGCAGGTATTTTGTAGAAATTACCCTCCACTTGCGTCGTATGATGTGTCCTGACAATTAGACTCAGGTCATGCATTTGGGGCAGGACCCCTCCCCCTGCCAGA